AAATGGGCAGGACAGAAGCGGAAGCCGAGCGGAAGGAGGTTCTTAAAGAGACAGAGGCCAATTTCAAGGCGTTTAGAAGAGGAAGTGATGAGAAGATAAGTTTATTTTCTATTTAAACATAAAAACAGCATTTTAATAACAGCTAAAGATGACATAGATGCTTTATTATGGTATTGTATTTAAATATATGCCTGCGAAACACATAATATTGCCCTTTAACAGTTCAAAAGATCAAAATGAAGTACAACCCCAATTTCAAAGAAGTTGGGATGCTGTGTAAAACAAATAAAAACAGATTTCAATTATTTGCGAATCTTTTTTGACTTCTATTCAATTGATGTACAACAAAGACGAGATATTTAATGTTCAAACAGATACAATTTATTGGTATGTTGCAAATATTTGCTCATTTTGAATTTGATGCCAGCAACACGTTCCAAAAAAGCTGAGACAAAGGCATGTTTCCCACCGTGTTCCATCACCTTTCCTTTTAACAACCCTCAGTAAGTGTTTGAAAACTGAGGACAGTAATTGTTAAAGCTTTGTAGGTGGAGTTCTGTCTCATTCATGTACAATTTCAGTTGCTCAAAAGACTGGGGTCTTCGTTATTGTATTTTGTGTTTTAAAATGAATTGTCAATGGGAGACAGATCTGGGCTTCAGGCAGGCCAGTCTAGAACCTGGACTCTTTTACTACAAAACCACGCTGTTGTAACACGTGCAGAATGTGGTCTGGCACTGTCTTGCTGAAAAAAACAAGGACATCCCTGAGAAAGACGTAACTTGGATGGCAGCACGTTACATATTTACCTTTCAGCATTAATGGTGCCTTCACAGATGTGCAAGTTACTCATACACTAACACACCCCCCATACCAGCAGAGAGGCTGGATTTTGAATTTTGTGTTGATAACATTTTGGACAGTTATTTGTAACTTTGGCCCGGAGGACACAGCATTCATGATTTCCAAAATCAATTTGAAATGTGGACTCGTCAGACCACAGGACACTTGTCCACTTTGCGTTGGTCCATCTCAGATGAGCTCAGGCCCAGAGAAGTGTTTCTGGGTGTTGTTGATATATGATGTAGAGATGAACTGTGTTCACTGACGATGGTTTTCTGAAGTGTTCCTGAGCCCAAGTGGTGATATCCGTTACAGAATTAAAAATGAGTCAATATTTGAAAAAAAAGTTTATTTGTTTGAACATTAAATATCTTGTTTTGTAGTGTATTCAACTGAATATAGGTTTACAGGGATTTGCAAATCATTGTATTCTGTTTTTATTTGTTTTACCTCCCAACCTCAATGGAAATGGGGACGTACATGTTTTAAAAACAAAAATTATTTACTGGTAGTTTTCAACAACAAAGAAAGGAAACAAAATTTGTTTGGTTACGTCACATTTTAAGTACAAATACTCTAACACCTATTTACCTGAATTACACTGACTGCAAATACAGTTACACCTACTTTAGATCAAGAGTCTGCTGCAGCCTTTTTCAGCTGGTTTTAGTTTTCAAATTCAAGCTTAAAGCAGCAAATCATAACACAAAACTGCCAAAMGAAAATCTTAACAACTTTTTTCTGTAGGAAGCAGGTTTTATCAGCACAACATACATTTAACAAGGTGTGAAGTGATGCTTTTTCAAATTATTTAACAACAAGAAGTTTCTCATATCAACCTAAAAAGCAAACTTGTGTTTCTTTTTCTTTACTGGGTTAAAAAATAAGAAGCTCAGAACAGCTGCAACGATAAATTGAAATTGATTTTTTTCTCAGCTGCTGTTGTTTTGTTTTCTGTCTTCTAAATATTGAAGCTAATATTTAAATTCACTAAGAAAATGAAAAAAATAAAATCCCTATTTGTGATGTAACTCATGATAAAGTTTGACCACAGATGTAAGTTTAGGAGCCAGTTATGTAGAACCAAGTCAAAAAATAAATGAATGAATGAATGAATAAATAAATAAATAGCTGGCAGTAGTTTAACAGTCACCAGGATAATCACACACCTCTTTCTGTCACTACCTGACAGCAGTTTCAAAAAGACAGACACAGGTACACTAAAAATGAGGCCTAAAGCAAACAGTCTTTGGAAAAAAAAAAAAAAAAAAACAATAAAACACTTGAACCAAAGTGGCAGAAGGTTGCAACATGAATTTTCTTATGTGTCTACAGTATTTATGTGACAAGTTAAAAAGACTGGACGAAGAATGGACACCATGAGAGTTTGGATAACTTTAACCACATGAAGCTCATGTAAGGAGTATGTGCAGAATTCCCATCTTAGTCCCACAGAAATGTGTAAATAAAAAAWTATAAACATTTAACTGCACTTCCAAGTCTTTTCAGAACATTAGAAGACCGGAAACCTTTAATTCTGTAAAACAACACAGACAAAATGCATCGCAGGTTTAAGGCACCAACTGGGATAATAAACACAAACAACTTGAACATGGTAATAACTGGTAACATTGTACCTCTGCAAAAACAACCAAAGTAGTATTTTGTGATGGTTGAGGTGTGTCAYTAAAAAGACTCAGAATTATGAAAAACACTTGAATGTTTATTGATTTGAATCAATGAAGCAGATTCTGTATCAACGAACACTAAAGTGTTTCTCTAAAGATTTCAATAAAACAGACAACTGATCAGGCGCACCTTGTGTGGCTCATATTACTCAAGAGTGAAAAAAAAACCTGTCAAAAGAGGGAAAAACTGCAACTTGTTCCTGCAACTTTGTGCTGCACAGTTCACTCCTAATGAGCCATTATTTACCAGCAAATATGTCTGAAGTCCTACTTTTTTAATTTTTTAGCCACTTCAGTAGAAAACAGAACTGAATGTTAGTTTCTTAATTTCTGCATCATCAGTGACTTTTTTTAAAGGCCTACTTGACTAAACTTAAGAAAATCTTATATTTCTAACTAGASATGCACCGATATGAAAATTTCAGCCAATATCAATATCAGATATAATTATTGGTGTTATGGCAGATAACCACTATTTACCAATTATTACACAAACACACAAACTATTTATATACATATACGCTCAAACACTCTTGAGTCTTTTTTTGATACTGTAAAAAACCAACCAGACAGCTGACATGGCTCAGGTATTCCTGGCTGCGCTGCGTCATAACATCATGATCAAACAGATACGACTCAACCAACCATCTCCCAAAACAAAAACACAAAGCTAAAAGTGGGAAATCAATACCGGACATTAATATCGGCCCAGATTTACTTATCGGATCGATGTAGATATTCTAAAAACTGACCAATATCGGCCGATGCCRACATATTGTGCATCTCCATTTCTAACTACTCCCACTACCTGGTGTCGTAAAACTTTCTGCAGCTTACGTAAGATCCTTCATGAAAAACAACACATCTGAAYTGAGTAAAACTGACAAGTGATGTCACACAATGTAGAAAATTTGGCATAAAAATACACTGAAAAAGCACTTCTTTAATGTTTGATTTGCACCACTTCTAACTGGTGAAATGAGTTGCATGTTATCAGATCTGCACAGTTTTAGCAGTTCAGTCACATTTTGGACACGTGTGGGATTTGTGATATCACCCTACGTTTAGTAAATTTGCCCCTAAAGGTTGGTTTACAGAATTCTCTTCTCTTCAGCGGTTTTACCTTTTCCCAGATGAGAGTGGTGCCCTTCCGGTGAACGGCAGACTCTGTGTTATAGTTGATGCCAAACTCAGAGAACAGGATCTCGTTTTTATCTGATGCYAATGTTCCCTGAAAGACAGAAAAACAAAGTTTCAAACTATGAACAAAGCACTTTATTACTTATGTCTGATCAGATGCCCAAGTTACAKCTTCCTAATTGGCAGGTCATGGTTCATTTTTGAACAAATTATTGCAAAGATAGCRCCACCAGCTGGTTAAATGAGTGTATAATTTACTCCACGATGGCAKTGAAAGAGGGTCTTTAAAGTTTATGTGAGGTTAATGAGGTATTAATGACTGGAGTTGTCCAAACAAGCAGTTAGAATAAACATTTGCTGACAGTCCAGTGGAAAATGAAATGGCTTGAAGAGAACAGCTGCATCAGTCTGCAGCTTCCACAGGCTGCTCCTAACATGAAGTCATGAAGAACCTGATGAACTCTAAAATACACATTTGTTGCAATTTCTATATTAGTATTTGTTTCGTAGATAAAATATCAAAGTGTCCATCGAGCCTTATTAGAAGGTACAGTGGGSTGCGAAAGTTTGGGCAGTCTTGTTAATTGTCCTGATTTACCTTTATGAATCATTGTTTGGATAAAAAAAATCAGTTAAATATATCATATAGGGGACAAACACAGAAGTGAAATGAAGTTGATATGATTTACAGAAAGTGTGCAATAATTGGTTTAAAAAAATTAGGCAGGTGCATAAATTTGGGCACCATAAAAAACTTTACCTCAATATTTAGTAGCTCCTCCTTTCACAGAAATAACAGCCTCTAAACACTTCCTATAGCTTCTAATGAGAGTCTGGATTGTGGCTGAAGGTATTTTAGACCATTCTCCTTTACAAAACATCTCTAGTTCATTCAGGTTTGATGGTTTCTGAGCATGGACAGCTCTCTTTAAGTGACACCACAGATTTTCAATAATATTCAGGTCTGGGGACTGAGATGGCCATTCCAGAACGTTGTACTTGTTCCTCTGCATGGATGCCTTAATAGATTTTGAGCAGTGTTTATGGTCGTTGTCTTGTTGGAAGATGCAGCCCCGGCTTCAGCAGCTTCAGCTTTGTCACTGATTCCTGGAAACTGGTCTCCAGAATCTGCTGATATTGATTGGAATCCATGCGTCCCTCAACTTTAACAAGATTCCCAGTCCCTGTACTGGCCACACAGCCCCACAGCATGATGGAACCACCACTATATTTCACTGTATGTAGCAGGTGTTTTACTTGGAGTGCTGTGTTCTTTTTCCTCTATGCAGAACGGCCCTTGTTGTGTCCAAATAACTATTTTAGTTTCATCAGTCCACAGCACCTTATTCCAAAATTAAACTGGCTTGTCCAAATGTGCTTTAGCATACCTCAAGCAGCTCTGTTTGTGATGTGGGCGGAGAAAAGGCTTCCTCTGCATCACTCTCACATACAGCATCTCCTTGTGTGAAGTGCTGAATAGTTGAACGATGCACAGTGACTCCATCAGCAGCAAGATGATGTTGTAGGTCTTTGGTGCTGGTCTGTGGGTTGACTCTGACTGTTCTCAACATCCTTTGCTTCTGTCTACTGGAGATTTGTCTTGGTCTGCCACTTGGAGCCTACATTTGAACTATGCCTGTGGTCCTCCATTTTCTCACAATGTTTCTCACAGTGGAGACTGAAAGCTGAAATCTCTGAGATAGCTTTCTGTATCCTTCCCCTAAACCATGACGGTGAATAATCTTTGTTTTCAGCTCATTTGAAAGTTGTTTTCAGACTCCCATGCTGCCACTCTTCAGAGAAGATGCAAATAGGAGAAAAACCTACAATTGCCCCCCTTAAATACCCTTTCTCATAATTGGAGTCACCTGTGTGTGGAGGTAGAGGGTCACTGAACTTACCAAACCAAATTTGAGTTCCAATAATTAGTTTTAAAAGTTTTGAAATTAATAAAATGTCAACAGTGCCCAAATTTATGCACCTGCCTAATTTTGTTTAACCAATTATTGCACACTTTCTGTAAATCCTTTAAACTTCATGTCACTTCTCAAATATCCCAGTTTGTCCCCTATATGATATATTTTACTGATTTTTTTTATCCAAACAATCAATGATTTATAAAAGATAAATCAGGAAAATTAACAAGGGTGCCCAAACTTTCGCACCCCACTGTATTTTCCGCCATGACCCTCCTGCTGTCCTTGGGTCGAAACCCATTTTGAAAGAAGCAGGAGGTTTAAAAATAAAGCTGTGGAAGCACAAGATCCATGCAGTGAACTACACTGCCTGCACATTTCACTGGACCCAAATTAAAAATGTGTGACGGGAAAACTGCTATAAAATGAAGATATGAAACAAAACAACCATTCATCGTTTTCATCGTTACGGCAGCAGGTATGTACATCATACCACCTGAAATGTTTCATTATTTGGATGCGTTTTAAAACGTTGCTTGTGGAAATGACTTTTTTAAACAGTTTTTTTGTAAGTAATAAAAATGTTGCCATCTCTACTTTTTGTGCTGYAAGCCTGAAATACAGGAGTTAATGTACAGTTCATTGAGAAATTAAAAAAGTGACAAGACCTGAACTTACACTGCAAAAACTATCCCTCTAAAAATAGGTTAAAAATACTAGATYATAGTTTGAATCTTCTCCTATTAGGTGAAACTATCTGCAAACAGTCTTATTGAAATAACAAAAAATTCCAAACTAACAAGATTAATAAACAAACATATTCTGCTCTTCCTTATTATAGAAGTCTCAAAACAAGATCAAAAATACTTTTTGACTGTATATAAGATTGTAAAATATAATTAARTGGATGATTTTGCAGTGTAATTGTGTTGGTTTAATATTTTCTGTAATTAGAGTAAAGTCTAAGTAGTAAATGCAAGACTTTTGTAATACTAAATACATTTGATAAAAAAGGCAATTAAATATATTTGAGTAGAAATTTGTAAGAAATAAATGAATAAAAAAAGGAAAAAAGGCAATTTTCATGAGATAGTTGCACTTTATAATGTGATATTTTACAGTATAAGCTCTTGTCAACTACTTTAACATTTGGAAAGTAAATTTTGTTCTATCTTAAATTTACTTTTTTTTAAAAAAATAAGTCTATGTTTCAAAAAGCCATTGAAGTAGATGCAACTAGAATTGACGCAACCCACGTGTGTGTGCTTGGGTTTAAAGTTTTATTATTGCTCTCACCTTTAAGCGATCCATTGCCTGAGCTGTAGTGAGTCCTCCTCTTTGAACTAACRTCCAGAATGCTGTGTTAAACAAGTTATTTATGTGACCTGGACGAGAAACCATACACACAAATCACCTATTCATCCCAGTTAAACATTTTCCATAAATCTGTTACAACACTGTATGTACTCACAGTCCGCTTGCCTCCAGCTGAGATAATCTCTGAGGTTGCGATTGCTCGGAAACAAAACCACACGCCCGTCAAAGCTTGGGGGGTAGAAAAGGGACTGCTCTCCAAAAAACTCCTTCCAGTAAAACACGTATGAGGAGGAGAACTGGGAGGTTACGTGGGTCATGAACTTACTGCGAGAAATGCAAAGTGGGGATAAAAAGTCAGAGAAAACACCACACATATAGGTTTGTTTGAGAGCAGCRGTAAGACACAACACCTGGCTCTTCTTTTAAACCAGGTGGAGCTCCTCTTGAAAACGAAGCTGAACTCATCACTTTGACCATAAGCGATGACAATATCCTCCAGTTCCTCCATGACAGAGCGAGCACTCCTGCTCATCAGCCCCAGAGCCCTGTCGTCATTGGGTTTTGTAAACATGTGCTGCTCTGCAAACCTAACGCAGATTGAAATGCAGAAAGTCAAAACAGAGCGCACAGCTCACTTTACTGTAAAATACGAATCAAACTTACTTATGGAAGTTGCGACCGTCCAGTCTGACAACAATGTAGCAGTTCCGCAGACAAGTGTCATCCGTTTCAAAGTTGCGCACGTACTCAAACTTGCTCTTGGCCATGCTGCTGGAACTGGTAAATAGACGGAGAAAGGATGTAGGGAACAAGGTCCTACTTTTTGAAAAAAATCTGCTTGTTTTTATGAACAGCATTTGGTTTCTGGGGGAATATAAAAAAACAGTTCTTAAATATTACTGCCACACAAAAGCACAAATTACATACAGCGGGTAAAATAAGTATTGAACACGTCACCATTTTTCTCAGTAAATATATTACTAGAGGTGCTAATGACATGAAATTTTCACCAGATGTCGGTAACAACCCAAGTGATCCATACATCTCAGTAATCCAGGTAAAAAATCTAAGGAAAAAAAATTGTATAGGTC